ATACAAATATGTACATATATACATATGTCCGCGCTCATAAACACTTAAATATATGCTCACACACTCATTTTTCACTATGGCTATTGAACAACTGACTGACGGATAAGAGCGTTTAGTATCGCTTTAGTTGTGTTCTAAGCCGTTTTGGTTTGCTGTAGTTGGTGATTTTTAATCTTAATGCGCACATACATACACATATATATAGCAGTGAGGGTGTTTAGGGCTTTTCCGGCACAACTCCACTGACATTCGAAATGCAATAAAAGAGCTGGGGGTTTTCGTGCTGTGAAACAGTCGTCGTTTGAACACGGCTGCTGACGGCTGACAGTTCAGTGTGTGGATCGAGTTTGAATTAAACTGTTATTCGTGTGCTGTTTTTTTGTTGTAAGTTTTCCGTTGTCTTGGTGGTACGAATTTTATAAATACCGAATATGTGCATTTAAAAACATGTCAGTTATCTGAAATGCATGTTTGTGTATGTGCAAATAAAAATTTATCATGTAAATATAGTTGGGATTTCGCAGGCAGACTTACATACACACACGTATGGACGTATACATATGTGGTTTTAATGTGTTACGCGAAGCAATAAAGCAAGAGGCTCGGACGCTTGAAATACGCGTGCACTTGTCGAAGGCGATTGGGATCATAAAGAAAAAAACCTATAAAATAAAAAACAATAATAATGAAATAACAAAAATAAAAACGATATAAATGAAATGTAAATAATATAAGAAAAATAAATAAATAAAATGAATTGTTGGGCGTCCTAAGTGTTTCAAAAAATATAATAGAAATATTAATAAATAAAAATAATTGAAAAAATCAATATAAAAAATTTAAGATATACATAATAAGCAGCGGAGTGCGAGTAATTATTGGAAACGTGCAGCGAATGCTATGATCATTTTTTTTTTTTTTCGTTTTAATATTTACGTTTTGAAACACCCAAAATTTAATGAAATAACAAAGTTTCATGATGAAGAAAAAAAATAAAGATCGTTAAATTATTTGAATGTCGCCTTTTCAACCGCTGAACCATATAATTAAGGGAAAATAATAAAATTTTGCTACAACGATAAAAATATCATACACGTACATATGTAAGTAGTATGTATGTACATATGTATGTATGTATGTATGTATGTACATCAGTATGTTTGTTTTACATGACAACAACAAATATACATATATAATTTTACTTTTCTTCAACAAGTGTAACTTTTTTATTGTGCCTGCGTATTGTTGTTTTTGCTGTAATTTTCTTGGCGCAAACTGACTAGTTGCCACATTTGACGCTAATAACGCGTTCGTGTTGTTGTTCTGCGCGTTTTATATTGGTAGTTGCATTAAATGAAGTTTTGTTGCTGTGTTAGTGTCTTGTGTGCCTGTTGGCCAAACTTTCGCAGCACGGACATGTTTCGTACAGCCTGTTTGAGTGCGCGACTCCTTTTATAAGAAGTACGCAAGTGTATTACGGTAAATTCAAAGGCAACTGACCATGTTCAATGTTCGTTCGCGCGCATAGTAAAGTGGCTTTAAGTTAAACGGCCATTTGGGGTATTGAACTATGCATAAATTTGATATTGTTTGAGATACGGCAGTATGAGGCATGAATGTTAAATTTTTCTTCTATATTTGTTTCTAAGGCTTGTTAGTTGGAAATTAATTTAAATCAAATACATAAGTTAAATTTTTTTTACTGTTTTGACAATGAATTTCGCTTTGTTTTTAATAATTGGGATAATTGTAACAATTTAAAATACCGTTTTAATATATTTTAGAATTTTGAATGATAAATTTATTTTAATTAACTGAAAAACAGTATAAAATACATATGTTCATATTTACATATATAAAAAAAGTTTTCTTATAAAAATTTCCATTTGATCGTTCAGTTTGTATCGCAACTATATACATACATACATATGTATGGTATATGCGATAGTGGTTCTATATCGGCGGTTCCGATAAATACCAACCTTCTACCAATTCTTGAGAAGGAAGGAAGAAAGTGCGCAAACCTTCAGATCGGTATCTCAAACACAGAGAGGCTAGTTCACATTATACAGAAGGACATGGCTAAATCGACTCTGCTCGTCAGATCACTTATATACATACATACATATACCCACTATATACATACATATGTTTTATAATGTCTCCAACGTTTCCTTGCGGTTGTTAAAAATTTTATAGCAAACTTAATAAATCATGTTCTGGTGATATGTTACAAAATACAATTAAAAACGACAATTTTTTTTTTAACTTTTTTCGAAGTAAACAATGCCTACAAATATTTATTTTTCAATATTAAGGTGATTCACAAATTGTTTAATATAATCTTTTGCGTTTTTTTTTTTTTGTTGTTAAAACAAATCAAAATAAGTACAAAAAAGAAAAAACGTTAATTTTCATTGCAACGAAGAAATACAAAAGATTCCTTGCTATCAAGAACTTGACTACAATCGGTCTGTTTATAAGACAGCTGTACGCTATAGGGATTCGATTTAAACAATTTCTTTGAAAATTGCACCATTACCTTGGGGAAGAACCCATGTACAATTTCGTGAAAATATATATGAAAATGAAAAAGTTTTTCATGCAAGCACTTTATTCCAATGGTTCAGTTTGTATGGTAGTTATATGTTGTAGTGATCCGATCTTCATAGTTTATTCGGAGATTGCATCATTGCTTTAGGTAAGGTATTAGGTAATAATCCATGCGAAATTTGGTGAATACATAAAAAAGTTATCCATACAATCACTTGATTCCGATGGTACAGTTTGTATGGCAGCTATATACAATGGTGATCCGATCTAAATAATTTCTTCGGAAATTGCATCATTGCTCTCTTCAAATGAAACAGTTTGCCATACAAGCATTTGATTCCGATATCGACGCTTCTGATAAATGAGCAGGTTCTTGGGGGAAAGAAAGACGTGTGCAAAATTTGAAATCGCTATCTCAGAAACTGAGGGACTAGTTCAAGTATATGCTGATATACAGGCAGATAGACATGGCTAAATCGACTCAGCTCAGACACAAAAGAAACTTTTAAGCCGATTGGAATATAAATCCGATAATTTATGAAAAGATAGTAGATAAAAGGGATGCTCAAATGATTTTTTCCAATATGTCTTTTAAAAATGTATTAGGGTCAAGGATGTAAAAAGTGTAGTTATAAAGAAGAATGAATAGCACAAAAATAGTCGGTTTAAATCTATTAAACATTTAGATGTGTGTCAAATTAGCTTAGGTTGAGAACTATTGAACCTATCATGCATTTGGAAATTCCAAGAACCTTAAAAAAACAAAAGAAGACTTCAGTTTACAAGTTGAACTAAAAATTGTGATTAGAAAAACAAGAAAAAACGTTAACTTCAGTTTCACCGAAGCTAAATACCCTTCACAGGTGCATTTCTGTTAGTAATTATRTGTTCAGTTTGTATGGAAGCTATATGCTATAGTAATCCGATCTGAAAAATTTTTTCGGAGATTATATTATTACCTTAAGCAGTAATCCATGTCAAATTTCGTGAAGATACCACGTCAAATGTGMAARTTTTCCATACAAGAACTTGTTTTCGATCGTTCAGTTTGTATGGCAGCTATAGGCTATAGTTAACCGATTTGAWCAATTTCTTCGGAGATTATATTTTTGCTTTAGAAAATAACCTGTGCCAACTTTTATGGAAATGCATTGTCAAATGTGCAAATTTTCCATACAAGAACTTGATTTCGATCGTTCAGTTTGTATGGCAGCTATATGTTATAGTGGTCCGATATCGGCAGTTCCGACAAATGAGCAGCTTCCTGAAGAGAAAATGACGTTAGCAAAAACAATATCTTAAAAACTGAGGGAATAGTTCGTATATATACAGACAGACGGACAGACAGGCGGACATGGCTAAATCGACTCAACTCGACATACTGATCATTTATATATGTATATACTTTATAGAGTCTCCGACCCTTCCTTCTGGGTGTTACAAACTTCGTGACAAACTTAATATACACTGTTCAGGGTGTAAATATTTCACTGCTCTAACGTTAAGTCATGAGACTTAAGATTTCTAAGAAAATAGCTTTAAAAGTTTGAGAGACTAGACAAGTACAAACGGTGTGTCTTTTCAATCGGAAAAAGTGCATTTCGTTCTTTACTTCACCCACCGACATTAAGAACTAATCCATTTCTTAGTAATTCTAAAGTAGTCCAGTAACAATTACCAGCAAGAACTTCCAACTACTTCCCCTCTTTCGAGGACTCTCTAAACTGACTTTATGGTATAGTATTTACGAGTACTTGAGATAGTACAATTTGTTTTACGATTGTTTTTTTTCTTTTTTTTTTTTTGATCAGTCCATAAAAGTATATGACTCTTAGTGTCACTTGCCGGTCCTACAATATACCGAAAGCAGACATACATACAAATGTACAAATACCAACGAATTTTTTTTTCTACACGCAACATGTGTGCGTATTATTGAACTCCTCGGCTAACCGCATACATATAGGACAAAATACATACTTAAGTGTAAGTAAGAATGTTCGCTTGTGCGAGTATATGGTTGCAGATAGTAGATTTATCCCACTATCTCGACATTTAATTGCTTACGCACGCCACTACTACTATGTGGACTACACCAGCAAAGCGCGCTTGTCGAATCACATTGTAGGCCATAATTACATATGTACATATGTGAGTAAGCAAATAGCTGTATATAAGTATTTAGCCTCATAATTGCGGATTTGAAGTGTGCACGAATTGATATGTCAGCCCAATATTGTATGTATGTACATTTGTGTGTATATGCAATATAATATATAGCTGGTAGAACTGTTTTATTGACTCCTTTTCTTTTCACGCTTGTTGTTTGTTTTGTGAAATTTTTTTTGTCTTTTGGCATTTCTCAACACCACTCATTCATGGTAGCGAAGTCAACAATTATGGCGCTGAAAACGCTCCAACGCAGTATGCAGCAGATCGTCAAACGACTAGGGACACTAGAGAACGATCGGTAGCACCTCACTGTTGGCTAAGTTAACTGCGCTGCACGATCGCAAATATACGCGGTACACAGTTAATAACCAACGTTACTTGTAGTTGCAGAGCAATTACTTGTATGGACGAGTGTGCGACTTGCCACAACGCGGCGCAGGAGTGAGTACCTGGTGGAGTTGATTTGTGGGGCAAATGCCCCTTAGTGTTTATATGTAATTCATAGTATGTGTTGCGTTGCTTGCAAGTTATTGAACTTAATTGTTTTTGTTGCATCGATTGATTTATGTACGGACATGTGATTGTGTGCGTATGTAGGTGTGTAACATGGCTTGATTGCTTGTTTGATCGACTGGTTGGTGGGCTTGGTTAACGAGCGAACTTGCCTATCCAGTCAGTCGGTTAGTGAGTTAGTGAGGTAGGTTAGCTTATAAGCGGCAATATGCCTCACAAGTACACCCATACATACAGACATACTTTATAGTCATACATACATACAAGCGTACGAAATGTCCAAACATACAAGGTGTGCCCCAAAAATAACCAAACTTTATATTTAAGTTAAAAAAAAAGCAGCATTAACTACTGAAAATTTGCAACATTAAAGAGATAAATTTATCTTCTTTCGCTATACTTCCATTTCAATTAGAGACAAATTGTGCAATTGTTCCATTTTTACAAAAAGCAAATATAAAATTGTGTGTTAAATTTGAAAAAAAAAATCGCCGAATCATACGAATCGATGGAAAAAGTTTATGCTGATGATTGTATGAGACACACCGAAGTTTATACATACATACGTGGTTTAGCAAATTTAAAAATGGTTGTGAGGTTTTAAATAAAGACCAAAAGCCAAAAGCTAGGTAAACGTGTTGATTTGGTAGAAAGAGTGGTGAAGAACGGTATCGATTCAAATTTTACTACCACGTAGGCTGAGGGGTCGTCCCCCTGTGAAATTTTTGAGAAATCGATTTTTTGTAATAAATGCTCTCTAAAATTAGGGTCGGTACAGGGTTTCTTGTAGAAAAAAGAGAACAGAGTGGGAAATATTGCGACTCCAATCTTTAAACGCGTTTTTCTCGGAATGGTGGGTTTTAAAACGGTTTCCACTCTGAAAGGAAGAGTTTTGAAGATATCTAGTTCCCATTTGGAGATAATATTTTTAACGTCATTCGCTATCGCGCTATGGTGCCATCTTTTTGAAATCTTGCTATTTTTTTACGAAAAACTGTCTAAAAAAGGTCAAATTCGATACTTTTTATTTAAACCAAACCGCCATTTTGTCCAGATCAATAAAAATTTTTACGTGTCATTTCAACAATTTACATATTTACTGCACACAATAAAGAACATAAAAAATTAAAACATTTTGTATTCGTCATGAATGTAACTATTTATAAAAAAAAAAAACATATTAAAAAACATTTTGTATTCGTCATGAATGTAATTTTTTATAAAAAAAATAGGACCGATTAGTCAATTTCAACATTAAAAAAAATCTGGAAAATCAGTGATTTTTCAGAGGGTCTCACTGAAACGATCCCTTAAATAATAGTAAAAACACTCTTTGGATAATTTTAAATTAAAATTTGGGTAAAGGAAAGATCTGTGAGGGGTTTGTCCTACATGAATTATATGTATGAACAAAAAGTGAATTTTTAATATAATCTTATATACCCTCCGTATATAAGTCGGATTCTTCAGCATATGATTATTTTCAGCCATTCAAGCCGCCGTAACCGATGTGTCGAAGAACATTCCGATAAATCATATAAAAAAAAAACAAAGTGAACTTCATTTGTTGAGCTTAACCACGCTTGGCTTATGATCTTTTTCGCACATTATTGTCGCATTTGCTCCACTTTTTGTCTCCTATTACCATTCGCTTCAGAAATGGTTCGATTTCATCTAGTTTCAGCAAAAAATCACAGATGTTAATTCGGTCAAATAATTTTTTCACAGACAAGTCATGTGTTATCCATACATCGAACTTCCTTTTGTAGCCAGTCTTTTTTAAATAGTTCAAAACCGTTTGACGATGAATGTTAAATTCTTTAGCGATGTCATGGCTGCTTAAGTGACGATCCTGATCAATCTTTTCCATAACTTCATTGACCTTTCCAATGATTTCAGAATTTAAGCGAGCGAACCATTATTGTGCTACACGAACTGATACAGCATCGTCTCCGTGAACTTCACAAATTACATTGGTGGCTTCGGTGGCATTCTTTCCTTTTTTATACAAAAATTTCAAAATGTAGCAAATTTCTTCATTATTTTCAGTCATTTTTGAACAGCTGTAACTTTTTTTCAACTTCCCTGAATTTAAYTTTTTTTTTTTGGTTAAATGAAGCTTAAAATCTCACCTATCCAACCAATGTTATTGGTATCACTGAAGATATAAGACATCTATTGACAAAATACAAAAAGATTTTTTCGACTACCCAATATATGAATGTATTGGTTGATCTTTCCAAACATAGTATTAAGTCAATTGGCACCTGTTTTGCATAAATAAGAACATTAAAGATTGCATTTTATCCTGTATGCACAATGTTCGGTTATTTTTTTGGACACACCTTGTACACATGTAAATATGTACGATCACACATACATATGTAGACTCTTGTAAGCTGCATGTTGAAAGCTTAAATGCTCAATAAAATACACATCACACAAACTCTTCATACATACATACATACATTGCTGTGTATTTGTGTGGAGCTAGCACGGTTTTTGCGATTTCTTGCGATGCTTCTTGGCGTCCATCACAATGTTACTTTCTGCAAACACACGTAAATACATTCACACATATGTACATACCGATATGAAGGCATGCACATTTCTCGATAACTTGAATAATTTTTTAATACCTGTGCAAATATGGCTAACAAAATAAAAACAACAACAACAAGAACAAGCTATAAAAAGGCTTAGATATACTTAATAGCAATAACAAGAACAACAATCACTCCATAATAACAGAGAAAAAGAAAAAAGCCAAGAGCAGAAAAGGCTAAAACAATTAAAAAGTACAAATAAGATTTTAAGAAGCAGCAAAACCAACAACTTAAGTAGTCGCACAGCGTAAATGCGCAAAGCAATAGCAAGAACAACGGCCATAAATATTGATACAAACCAATCAAACAGGCACATGCACACACACACACAAGTAATCACATACCAGCAAAACGCAAAACGAAAAGGAATTAAGCAAAAATCTAAAAAAAAAATAGCAAACATTGCAAAAAATAAAAACATAAAAATGTATAATGGACAAGCCACGCTTATCGCGTTCCGTATAAAAACGTAAGACGGTACAAAATTATCTCTCATTTGTAAATTAACAATCCATCGATCCAGGCGCTTTTTTCGTGTTGAATTTATTTTTTTGCGGTTTTCAGCGTGTAACTAAATATCGCAATTTCGCTCCAGAGTGTGTTTGCTATTGTTGTTGCATTTCCAACAAGTTCGATTTATTTCACATTTCTACCAAGTTGCTGCTATTGTTGTTGTTGTGTACACAAAACACAAAGGATCAGAATATAGAAAGAGCTTTACATAAAATATATGTAATATAAAACACTTGGGCGTTATAAAAAATTAACAGAGTTTAAAAAGACCAATCAATCAATTAAAAAAAAAACATCGCAAATAAAAGAGCAAAAACGAAAATTTCGTGTTCCGGCTAAAATCCTGTCAAAGTAATCCAACAAGCGCAAATTGAAACCTTAATTCAACAAAGACTTGAAATATTTAAAAAAAATCAAGAGTTTAAACCACAGCTCCAAGTCTCGTAATCTGCCACTCGCCAAACGCACAACGCTAATCGCTAATCACTTGCCGCAAACGGCTAAACGCATCGCTAATCGAACGCCTCCTTTACGCTTATCAATATAGTGTAACTACGCTCCAGCTACTTATCTGCTTATCCCCCGTTTTAGCGTACTCGCTGCGTCCTTGCTCTCTTGCTTTGTTTAGCTCACGCTAATATTGTGCGAAATTATCCAGTTCAAAGGATAATTTCGCGTTATTTTCGTCAAATCAGCTAATTTACTAATTTCCGTCATCTGCTACAATTTACTGTTTAGTTGGGAATTTTGAGCACAGGAAACAGAAATCAAAGCGCAAACTCTTGAAACACACACCGACAAACGATCAAGGCAACGGTCCGGCTTGTGAAGCCACCGTCAAAGGAGCGCAGTTTTTGCTGTCGCAACAGTTCTCTTATTTATCAAACTGGAGAATACGAGGTATACGCCTGTCTATACAACAGAAAGAATTAAAATGACGCAACAACCGGAGTGGGGAATACGATTCTCGAGGTGTAAGTAAATATAAATATTATCATACATTTAAATATTTTTTATTATTTGTGACAAGATATTAGATTGGTTTAAGTAGACTTAAGTTATTTTGGAGAACTTGAGCTATTCTGCATGTTTCATACTCGGCGGCAAACTGCTTAAGCGATCAAGAATTATATCAAATTCGTCTGAAGCATTTAATATGAATTGATTTCCCTTAAATACTTATGCTTTGAATAAATATATTGTATTATACGCTGTTCGTTATTTTGAGCTGATAAATTTTGAATCGAACCTTGTAACTTTAAACAATTCTTATAGTGAAATATTCCTAACTGCAATTTGTTTCAAATAAAAACAAAAATGTATTTTCGTACCTTTTTAATGAATTCCAATCGCTTTGACTGATGATCGTTGCTTAATGCTTCTAATTTCATGACGAAAGTTATGGTGATTACAAAATAAGTTTATTTTAATTTTTTTCTATTGAAAGTCTTTAATTAATTCTGTCTGCTCATTTTAGGGAATCAAAAAAAAAAATAAATAAATAAATAATATGATATATTGAGCCTTTTCTCTCTTTTTCGTCATAATTTTTTTATTTTGTATGTAATAATAAAATATATATAAAAAAATATATTTGAAAATGCAATAAAACATATTTCAAGCCATAATATTAAAATAACATTTTTTTTGTATAAAAAAATTTTATAAAAATTAAATGTTTTTCAAAACGCTGATGAGTCTCGAATTTTATAATATTATTTTATTGAAGTCAAATAAACATTTTGTTACTCTAACATAGAATATCTTGGGGCAGTTTGGGGTTTGCTTTGAATTCGGCAAGCAAACGTTTCAGTAGAAGATTTATGATTAAAAATAATAAATGTTTTCTTAATAAAATTCAACAGAATATATTATATTAGGTTGTCAAAAAAGTCTTGCGGTATTTTCGCTAGTTGGCGCTGAGAGCGTGTAGTTCTAGTTTTATTCGTCGCATCGGGTCATGCTATATCTCTTTGAAAAAACAGTACTACTACGATAAAGGCAAAAATTGCGATAAAATCGCTRAATTGGTCGAAGGAGACCGGCATAGTAGCAACCGTAGCATCGGTCAAGAGCTGGGCATGAGTCATCAAAAAAAATTTTATGAACAATTGAAAATTCAACAAAAATACCGCAAGACATTTTTGACAAACTAATATATATATGTACAAAGTTCCTTTAAATATATCACGATAATGAATACTATATGAATACACGTCACCAACCGTCTGTGACACAGAAAATAAACTAATTAACATTTAATTGAATTGCATAAAATTAGCAATTTACTGAAATGAAATTCGATTAAGAATAAATTACATAATTCAGCCTTACACGCTTGGCAACTAAGCACACAAGTCAGGAAATCATTTAAAGACTCATTGCAGAAACCACAAACTGCCAAGTTCCAAGACTTTATATATAAGTATATTAACAGATGTATAAAATATATACATAATTACATATATACATATATATGTAAGCTTGCTATTAATTAATTATGTAAACGTCGTAAAGCAAATTTACACCTAAAATTACAGAACATGCCGGGAAAAGATGTAAATTTATACAAAGCACCTGCAATGCCGGGAGACTTGAAGCTTAAAAACTGGCTTCCTAAACTTAATTTTCTTAATTTCTTGAAATAAGCGGTGAATGTGTATATAGGCTATATGCAAGAAAACAAAATTTTTTTCCCGTTATTAATTTATAGCCTTGAAGCCATGAAGAATTGTGTTAAACCCATTCTGCATCCCATAATATGGAACTGAGTTTGAAGAGAACATGAAAACAGCAGCAAAATTTTTTGCCACTTTCAAAACCGTGCTCATAATTTGGTAAAACTTTTTGACGATTACTTTGATCTTTTTTTTTTTTAATATAGAAAAAACAAAAAAAAAGATGTATTTCTTATTTTTCTTTTAAAAAAATATATGTGGCGAATATTTTCCTTCATATATTATACATACATACATACATATATTATACATACATATGTGTATGAAGATATATGTTTAAGCTTCTAAAAATACAACCTTTCTTTAAAATTAAGTTTTGAACTTAAAATAACAAATTATTTAATCAATTTTACAATAAATGTATTTGCGGAATTCATTAATTAAGGAAACTTTATATTCAAACAATTTAAATAGAAAACTTAAATAAAAACAAAGTTATCCTTCGCCGTTACCTTTCACTCCCTTATGATCATTCAAGCCAGTATCTAGCTTCAAACAATCATCTTAAAAACGGTTGTATTCTTCCACATGAAAGTCACAACTCAGGCTGAATACGCTCTTCATTGGTGCTTATAAAAAATTCTTGCTGTGGGTTATCTAAAGCCAGGTAGGTACACACGTTGAGACTGGTATGCATACATATTTGGACACATGTCAAATAGCAAAACGCTGAAGTCACTCGCATTTCGCAGAGATTGTTGAACCGACTGGCACGTCAATCAAGGGAAATGGCAGTAGAATTTTAAATGAATAAAGCGCGATCATGCGAAGCCTAACTGTTTGAGTGCAAAATGTTTTTATAAAGCACGGAATTGGAAAGGGGGTCAAGTGGCAAAAGAACGCTTAAACTCGCTTATAAATTATAATAACTGTGTTGCACTTAGGCCTAAAATAATTTGCTAACTTGTTTAAGGATTTCCAAAAATAAAAAATCAGAAATTCGTTTTAGTTAAGCATCCTCTTAAAAATTTAGATAAGCTTAATGAATTAATTACATCAACACTACCTCTATATGGTATGACACAATGTGATTGGTAGCACTGGAGATATACGACTATTGACAAAATACGAAAAGACTACCCAATATTTATGCGATAATTTTATAAATCATTCAAAGCATATTCAGGTGATTTGCTCTTTTCAATTCTTCTGTCTTATTACTTTTATGGTAATATCTATACATCTGTAGTAATATTTATATCATTACTCGTATATTGAGCGATCATGTGACTTGTTAATATTTTCAGTTCAATTGAATATCGTATCGCCTGTTTGGGTTTACCTCTTTTGTCATACATCTTTTTTTTTATATACAATATCGGCTTTTATATATTTACATACATACATATAAATACTATATTTGTTAGTTTTTTATTTAATGAAAACGTTTACTTCAGATATGCCCGCATTATTTTGTATCAGTTGATTAGTTGGTTAAAATATGAGACCAAAGAACAAATTCGTATATACATAGTGAAATCTAATCATGTCCATGCTTATTCTCGACTGATAAGAGAACTCAAAAATGCTATTAGCTATAACGAGCTATAAATGCCTATATAAACTTGAAAACGACTTAGTTAATTGCCATGTTTATGGCATTGTTAGAATAATTGTTATTTATTATTTAATTGTTGGCAAGCTCAACAAAGTTTAGACCGTCAGCGATAATGATTTCAAATTATAATTGCCTGCGCCCGCCGTTCTGGAAAAAAATTGGAGCGCTAAGCTGGCAATAACTTGAATTGACGAATTTCGAAAGATATCGTAAAGTGCTAAGCAGCATATAATCAATAACGGAAACAAACACATAATAATTTGAATGGGCATGAATTGGATTACTGGCCCAAAATAATGTGCATACTACAATTTGAATGCTATTTTCAGTCTTTCATAAATTTAAATGGAAGTATTCACGCAAACATTAAGGAGATTAAGCTAAAAATGTATTTCATACATGAATCTGTTGGTGAAAATAACACATTTTCAATATTTCTATCTATTCTATCTATCTATTTTCCTTGGTCTAATATTCGAGTCTGCCTGCACGTACTACCCCAGTGATGTTAGTGCAATTTTTAATTGAATTTACCTCTTCATATCTGAAAGCACAATCATTAATTAAAAAGAATACAAAAATTTAAGATAAAATAAAAGTTATAAAAAAAGATGAAAAAAGATGAAGGACGGTATTAAACAGTGAACAACTTCTAGCCGATGTGAACGAGTATTCAAATATTTGACAGCTGTCAGCTAAAGCTCTATATGTATGTAAATGGTTATATGCATTTATTTATCATCTGTTGATTTGAAGCCATTGAAAGAGCGATTAGAGCGAGCTACCGACTATATTCTTATATATGTATGAAACTATATAAACATTTTCCTACATATGAATGTACGTATGTTCGTATAGAAGCACCATTTAGCATAATTGCTGATGAACTTGATTGACTGGCGTATATCATGTGCGTTCACACATATGTATATTATATACTCGTATGCATGTATGTATGTATATAGGTAGACTATTATCTCGAAAACTTCAGTGATTATTATTCTATATAATATATTATTTAATAACTCTTGACAGAACCCATGGCACACATCTATTATCTCATAAAAAATAATAACAAATATATGTAAATGAATATATTATCAATCGTATGAATCAATCACTTTCACTTAAATGGCATTCATCTAATGCATATATAATATATATAAAATAATTAAAGTGCTAGAGACATTATAAATATGTAAATAGTTTATATGAACCAGGAATCTGCACATAAACATATGTTAAATGTAGAAGTGAAACATCAATCCAGTTAGAAATATCTGTACCGAAAATTAACTGGTCCCAAAAACACCAGTTCTGTAAAACAGTATATCTTTATACTATTTATTTTATTCTCACTTAAAAAAAATTCCATTCGACTTAAAGATAGCTTTACGAGATTGTAGACATATTGTATATGCTTAAACATACGCACATTTTCATATATAAATATATAATCGTATATACTGGAATATGCATAAGTATGTGCTAAAGAGTTGCGATAATATTCGCTGACAGTCTCGACCCTTATCTGCTCCAATTTCCAAGCAGAATGGGATTATTATTAAGAATAAAGCACATCAAGCGTAAGAATTGTGACCGTTTATGAGTTATAATGTGCTAATTAGCAAAGCTTTTGAAATAACCACGGAAACACAAGACTCAGAATTCGATCATA